GGATGCCAACGGATCTACTTTGCTCTTTGGCCCGATTGTGGTTTGGATCTTAGGCATCTGGGTTTATAGAATGTTTGTCTGTTTTCGGACACACCTACCTGTCGAGGATGTTTCTGGCTGAGAACGGCTACTTCGGAGACCCGAACCCAGATGTCAACTCGCTGCACAAGATTTTGGTGGTTGCCTACCGCGACTTCAAAGCTTTCCAGAAAGAGCAAGGCCTGGTCTGTTCCCAGGGCAAGTTTGTGCCGAACTTTGCCACCATATCGCATTAGATAGCCTGCCAAGATACTTCATTTAATGGCTGCTACTCTTGAACCCAACAATATCCTTTGCCAAACCTAGGTATGGAAACCCGACAAGCATGGAGCACACATGTCGCACAAGGGCTACAACGGCAGAGTGATCGCAATGTGGCTGGGTGATTGTATGCAAAGGGCGGCCACGCACTGCATCAGCAATCACCGCGAGTTTGGCCGATGGCTGCACGAAAGGAATGCACAACAGGGGATCCCATGGCCCGAAAACGACGATGAGCGATTCGCTCCGATATGTGCGGCAATGATTCTCGAAGCTATTGGTCTTAACTTTCTTATTTGACTCTGAGCGGCCGAATTCCAACCTCCGGCACAAAACAACCCGATCAAACCCTCTTTAAACCACACCAACATACACCCGAAACCGAAGAAGCCCCAATGTCGGCCCCTCTGAGGGAATCGCTCTGCAAGTGGTTCATCGCCGTCGAGGAGGCTCCAGTGTACCTGCCGCTCGGTGCTGGCTGCCAGAGTTTTTGAAAAGTTTCGAGATACTAGGTTTCAATGTCTGGGAAATACTTGCACTTTCATCTGAGGTCTGCGGAACAGGCTGACGAGATCTATCAGCATGGTATGCAATACCTCCGCTACCATGCACTTCTGTGCAAGATGTCTATGAGGCATCAGAGGGTGTCGGTGTGATCGGTGCTCCGATTTACTTAGACAAACCCTGAAAGGCTCCAGAAGCTCCATTGGCACATTCGGCCCAAAGTCCACGAGTTTTGGCTGCAATTCAGAGCTGATGCAATTCAATACAGTAGACTGTGCTGTGTTCCTGCCAAGGCCTTTCACCACCAGTTGGTGGATGCCAGAAAAAGACGATTCTTGGCTAAAATATTCTAAAGATGCTTGAATCCGGGATGCTGCCCTCCGAAATCCAGGATTGAACACAAGACTACACCATACCTTCAGAGAAGAAGATGCGATGCGATGGCTCAAAGGTGCCACAGCTGCACTAGATTCCGTAATCTCGCCCTGTTTCCAGCAGAACCATAAGTTATTGATATTGAGCCCAAATCACGTGATCCCAGGCGTGGCGCAGAAGGCTGACAAGAAAGGATTTGAAAAATCCGTCATTACAGTTGCCAGATTTCTGCTTGCATCAATGAAGCGGCCTGAAAGGATGGCCATGCTAAACCGCAACGCCGCATGCAGAAGCTAAAATTGATGGGGTCACCGGTTCGTGATCTGCAAGGCGGCGCCACTGCCGCTGCCGCTGCTCTGATGCTGTGTCGGGGGGGGAAACTAAGACCCGGTAATCAAAGCCACCTCTAATCCCAAA